TTCAATCCCTGAGGACGTTGTGCCTGCGAACCTGACTGGGAAACGCCGACGCAGCTTTATGTTTGGTTCGGTGTACCTGAAGTTCAGGGACGCTAAGGGGAAGTACGTCGACACTCCGCCGACGCCCGACCCCTCGGCACTACTCGGGGCTCAATCCACAACGAGCGACACACTAGCGCCCCCTTTATCATCAACATCCATCCTGTGTGGGGAATGGAACAAAGCAACAATGGAGGTAACCAATTACTTGACTTAGTCCCGAATTTTAACCTAGAGTCAATCAACACAGACAATGACCATCATAGACCTGACTCTCGCGACACCAAAAGCGATAACCACCATATCTGGCTGGCATGTCTCCAATGAGACATTATGCTCAGATCACCGCTGGATCCGCTTCACACTACAGGTAGAACCTTTATCTCCTACCCCCTAAGGTATCCAAGGAAAACCGACAAACACCGTTACGCACAACTACTGGCGGACCATCTAAAAAACAACTCCGGTAAGGGCAGAATTGAAACCACGGAGCAATTAGAACAACAGGTAAAACACTTGACAGACAACATAATACGTTGCTAAGAAGAGGCCTAACCCCTTACGTGAGTCTCCGAAAAACACCACTGGTGGGGGCCGGAGCTTGAGATATTGAGAGGAAAGGTGAGGAAGTGGCTTAACAGGGCAATGAATACATGCAACGACACAGACTGGGGCGGCTACAATGCTATTAAAGCTAAGTAGAAAAAACGAATTAGATACTGAACAACAGCCTCCTGGAGGAACTTCATCGGGGAGATAAGCTCCACCAACCAGGCAAATCGGGTAAGGAAACTGTTGGCCAAGCAAGGCCCTGGCGTGCTAGGAATCCTGCGTCGACCAGACGGCACACTGTCCCATAATCGTGACGACTGCGACGCTATCCTCCTACAAACCCACTTTCCGGAATGCCAACTAATAGAATAGGTGACATGGCAAGATGCACCTCTAAGTACAGATAAGATAATTACGCCTGAGGGAGTAAAGTGAGCTATCAACTGCTTTGCCCCCTTCAAGTCAGCCGGCTCTGATCATACCTTTCCAGCATACTAAAATGCGCGCATCCAAACCTGGCATCATTATCGCGCATCGTTATTCTAAAAACGCTCACCCCTAACGCGTATAGCTACTGTATTCCGCTGCGATCCAAAACGTGCGGGCTGGAGAAAATAGCGCTACGCGTGCTCCGCAAGTCTTTATTATACATAATTGAAAGTCGATGAACATCCATTTTTCCGTCCAAATACATATTATTTATTTGACTTTAAAGTGATTTTAAACTTAAATACCGGTTTAATTATCCTACTTTGCTCCAATATTTGCTTCAAAAAAGGGGAATTATGAATATTTTTTACAGTATTTTATGAAATATACTCAGATATATTAATGTAAAGAATAATATGTTATCTAACATATTTTTAAAGTTAAATTATCTTAATGAAGTATTTCATAATATGTATAAATATAAAACTATGAATAAGGAGGCTCCTGGGTATATTCCCCAAACAATGTAAAGCTTTTTGAGCAAAGTTATGCTTTCCTTATTTAAACTATGCTCCAGTAATATTACGCTTCAATTTTTTTTCATAGTATCAATGGCCGAAAATGGGTAAAAATTAAAATAAACCATGTTTTTTAAAGAAAGAATTTTATATTGTTAAATTTTGTCACAAAATATATAGTAAAGCATACAACGTGTAACTGCAATTACATTACAAAATCAATTTGTTTCATTATTTTTTATATTTTTTAAGCATGTAACTGCTTGATGGTATTTTATATTCTTAAATTATAATAGGCACTGCTATCATAACTAGTAAATTTATTTGTTTTACAAATTCTGGACAAAAATCAGTCGAAAATAAAGTAACGAGTTTCAAAAATTAAAACATATAAGCGGTCAGTTCAGGAACGGAATATATTTATTTCACTGCGGCACTAATTTTTTTAGGGACATCAATACATACCAATATGTCCTGCCAATCGTATTGAATTTAATTTATCGACGGGTTTTGGCCACGTCCAGGATTTTAGTGACTTCTCCATTAAAGAAACATATTCTTTAGTTATTTTTGTAATTTCCTTGGCAAGTAGAGCATTAATAACCACTTACAATTAATATAAAAATGTCTACTCTTGAACGGCTTATGTTTTGGTTTACTTTGCTCCAGGCGCAAAGTTACCCCATCGTACCAAAGAAAATATGAGCACGCCAAAAATGTGAGGTTAGATTATCATCAACTCAGCAGTCCTATGAAATATTTACGTATTTGTTTACCTGATCATATAATTAATAACATTAAAACAAAATTACCTTAATGCATTATGTAGATTTCAAGATGGAAGCGGCTTTTTCGGATACAAAAAAAAACTTTTAAGGTCTTGCACTACAGCTGCACCTGACTTATGAAAAAAATGGCGGATGAAAACATTGACAGTTCAGTGTCACCACTTATAAGTAACATGTTTTCGCTGCGTTCACAGTTGAAAGAAATGTTGTACCGATTTGGACATATTAAGAGATAAAACATATTAGAGAATTAGAGCATAATTAACCCTATAGGAATAAAGTAGGAACATTTTAAGGTAAAGAAAATGACGTCTTGCATCATTTCATATCAATGTATCTCTGTGATGTTTTGATTATGTGAAAAAAGTAGAAAATTCAAGTTCAATATTTTTGCATAATATACCTGATGGATGAAGAAAAAAAGTTATCATTCAGTTCATTGATAAGATATAGGGATGATGACCAACTTTTTTTTCTATAACAGTAAGTAAGGTTACTGATAGCACGCTTGTCACAATTTAATTGAAAAGATAAGATAAAAAGGTGCTACAGCTAATTATACCCTTAGTATTGGTGCCCCAGCCACAAGTACAAATCTTTGCAATTAATATGTGGAACATATCACGAGGTTGCAAATCACTTATTTACTCTCATTGCATGAAATCTTAGTTATAAGTGCTCTCAACTCGACTTGAGTACCGAATTGGTACCGAGCTGTTCAATATTAAACGTGATTGTTACTTAATTGCAATTTTGTTTATAAAAGTTTTGTTATCTAATCTAGTTACTAAAAAAAATAACTTTAAAGGGCTTGCACTACAGCTGCACCTGACTTATGAAAAAAACGGTGGATGAAAACTTTGACAGTTCAGTGTTACCACTTATAAGTAAGATGTTTTGGATGCGTTCACAGTCAAATGAAATGTTGCACCGATTTTGACATATTAAGTGATAAAACATATTAGACTAGCAAACCCGGCGAACTCCGTTTCGCCACCAGATGGCTTCGTTTTATGTAACATTTCGTTTGGTGATTAAAAGATTTTTTTTTTTAATTTTTCCTGAATTTTCTTTGCTATAAACCTCACGGAGCCCGAGACCTTTCCAACGAATGCAAAACCGTGGAAATCGGTTCGTGCGTTCTGGAGTTATAGCGTCAGGAAGGAAAACCCGACTTATTTTTATATAGTAGATAATTAGAGCATAATTAACCCTATAGGGTATATAGTAAAGTAGGAACATTTTTCGGTAAAGAAAATCTAGTTACTGTGGTTTACTTCACGATTTACGATGTTACTTCGCGTGATAAGAGAGCAACTTTAAATCTTTTTGATATCAGCGTACTTAAGTTGAAATTAAATTCATTTTCCTTTGGACGAAATAATTTGAGTAAGACAATTTAATATAATGCGATGCGCAAAAATGATAAGCGAGCCACGAAAGTTTGAAGGGTATATTGTGTATTAATGTTGTAATGCATGTAGATGTATTTTTATGTTATACATTTTACTTACTGACTATCATGTATTTGATATGCATTAAACTTCAATATCATTATTATTGTACACAAGTTAATATATGTCACAAGTATTTGAATGTTAAAACAGTTCTACATTAATAAATGTTGCAGAACAACAAGGTTCACCTAACCCTATATTAAGAAGATCAGTCATCTTTGACTGATTATTAGTATTATGTTAAAGCAATTAGAGCAATAATTCTAAATTTTAGTTTAATGCACTTTTGACGACCTCCGTGGCCGAGTGGTTTCTACGCCGGGTTTCAAAGTGTCGCCTACTGGAGAGGTCCCGGGTTCGAATCCCGGTGGGGGCAGATGTTTGTGTGATGAACACGAGCAACTTTACTCTAGTCATGGATGTTTAATATGTAATTCTATATAAATATACTTATATATGTACAGTATATGTATTCTATCCGTTACCCTAGTTCCCCATAACACAAGCCTTACAGTGCTTACTTTGGGGCTAAGCTTTTTGGTGTGAGTTTTGGAAATATTAGTTGGAGTAGCTCATGCTCGCAGATGGGTGTATTTAAATCCATTTAAAGACGCCTCAAACAACTTTATGAAGGAATCACATTTTCAAACTTATTATAAAGCAGCTAATTTATGTTAAATAATACCTACTCTAATTGTGATAAGGCAATCATAATGCTTTTTAACTTTTTAAAATGTGTGTGTTACATACGATATGGTAAAAGCTTATAAATGGACATAATAACTTTGGAATTTCTTGTAAGCGAGCGATGTATTTGACGTCGTCCTGCGGCGACAGCACACTACCTCTGAATCTCTACGAAAGCGTTACGCCTGTAAAGGTGTTATAAAGGTGTTATAATGAAAAACCTCACACTATTCCGTCGCCCGGCGTGCGGTACATTACAACTTTTCATTTCATTTCATTTCATTTCACTGCCACCCCGCCACCTGTCTGACTGAAAGCCTAAAACCTTAAAGTCTCAGAGTCTCAGCCTTTAGACCCCTCGCCTCGCTATTTTCGTAGATGGCGTGATTTGCGGGGTCGTTGATGAAGTGTAGAAAACCTCCTCGGCATCAGCATCGTCCTGCGGCGACAGCACGCTTTCTTTGTGTGCGCAAGCTCCACGCAATCGACAACTGCCGTGATTATTCTACCTGTAAGGTCTCAAGCCTCACCCTTTAGGTCCGTCGACTTGGTCGCCTTCCTCGTGGTGCTGCGTGAGTTGCGGCGGCGTCGGTGAAGTGAAGAACACCTCCTCGGCATCAGCGTCGTCCTGCGGCGACAACACGCTGCCCCTGAACGAGCGCGACCACTGCGCCGAGGTAGACTGCCGCGATCTTCTTGTCACCGCCTGGGAGATAAATGTGGGTTTAGCGAATAAGCGTGATAAAGAACAATTGTTAATGCCTCCAAGTACTAGACTATTCCATTCCAGAGAGCATTCCACAGCATAATGAATAGAAAAGCGTTATAAATAACTGTGCCCCTTTCGCTTATATTATGGAAAACAACAACAACAGTCAAGTCAGGTTTTTACACTGACCTAGCTAGTATTAGAACCCACTATATACCTAAGAAAATATGTCAAGTGCGGCCGCTTACCATCACGCCTTACAAATAAATAAATAAATGTCTTCTATTTTCTACTCACAAAAAATAAATTAGTAACCTACCGTATGGAGATCTAGTGACCTGGCTAACTGCAGGAACAAAGAGGGGTAGGGCATAGCGGTTTTGGACCGCCAGCGCCTGTCTATGAAAGAAATCTCTAGCATACTAGAACTTGAGTACTACTTACCTATTACGCGCGAAAATAAAATCAATATTACGTTGAATATATAGGATTGTATAAGCAGCACGCAGCGACAGGTATAAGACAAACATGCATAAAGTCGTTTATCTCATACGACGCCTAATCGTATAATGCGATTCAAATAAGAATAGGAAAGCCAATGACCTCCATCTGTCAAATGTCGCTTGAAATATACGGTTTGCAAAAAAATCTCGGAACACTTTTTTAGCACTCAGCTGATTCTAGAATAAAAACCAATCATTTTTAAACAAACAATAACAAATGTTGATAATTAATATTAGTTTTTTTTTTCATTTATTGAGCTTTGGCTATGAATGGTTGATAACCTAAATCGTCAACCAAATGTCACTTTAAGCTGCGTTCAAAAACTCGATTCAAAACTTTCGTTTACATAGAGGATGCATGTTCGTATGTGACCTGCATGATTATTTATTATTTCTCCGGCGGTAATGCAGAGATGAAATGCGAAATTGAAGAGCTAGATTCTGAAAATGTTTTTTTTCACACAGTCTTATAAAAGAAATACTATTAAAAATCGATTGTGTTCTTTCTCAACCTTAGTAAATTAATTTTATTAAAAAATCTGATGTTTTGTCTCACTTAATCTTAGTAAATAAGTTTTATTAAATAGTAACATTTTTTTGCTCACTCTACCTATTTGGTTTGAATTGACAGCTATGACGTCAAAATATGGCGCTCAGTCGGTCCTATTCTTAGTTGAATCGCATTACACTCGGAAAGTAAGAACAAGTATTCTATGAACTAGCCACATAGATAAAGGAATGCACAAATTATTTAAAAAATATTAGTTAAAATATCATTGCCCGCGGTCTATTATTTACGAAAATTACTTATCTAGCAATACTAATAACTATTAAAATGCGAAAGTGTGTCTGTTGCCTTTTTATTTGTTTGTTTGTGTCTACTTTCACATCTAAACGGAGCGATCGAATGAACTGATTTTTATTTCATTTATTCAATAAAACATGAACTACACGAAGTGAACTACCGAACCGAGATAGTTTGAACAATCTCTTAATTAATATTAGTTGATGTTCACAAGTTGTAGTAAGGGCTAAATGAAATAATAAATCACCCCCAAGCCTCTTCGCAACGCCCCCTATTTTTTTCTGGGTCTCTTGCCGTCCCTCTTTAGACCTGCAGCGCTTACTTTGAGAAAGGCTGTGCAATGCCCTACCAACTTCCTTGATGCAATTATCAGTTTAAGCGATAGTTACCTCACTTTCTACTACAATTTTTATACACGAAAACATCATTCAGACTGTACTTATTCAATAGGATTTCAATATTTTTTGTTACCAAAAAGAGCGAAATGGAGAAACCAGCCAAGTGTGTGTCGCGCCACGCTTAATATAGGGTTTCATAGTTAAAAACAAAATCTATATGTAGTATTTTAAACCATGTCTGAGCAGCATAAAAGCTGCGCACTCTAATGCATTAATCGATGTACATATACATACATTGAGGATGTTATGATTTTCCCGTTATTTGTTTTTTTTTCATAAACTTGCCTTTATTTCCTTCAAAAAGTTTATTCATTATAATGTGAATGTGAAAGTCTAGTTCATTACTAACCTACCTGGAATTCACTACAGTACGGAAACTATTTTTGATAACAAAGCGCTGTTGTTATTTCCGATTTTCGTGTCAGTTTTCAGAATAGAGAATTATAGACAAACCGAGGTGCCGTAACGAGACGATAATACTATTGAAAACCGACCCGTGAATTTGCAATCCAGTCCTATGGTGGACTGGACGGTCGTATATTATCCGCTTTCATGTTTTAATGAATAAAATAAAGCATCTTTTGCAAACAAAGCGTAAATCTTTGCAATCTGATGGAATTGAAACGAGATTGCAGTCGGTAGATCCGGTCCATCGTTCTATCTACAAATTAGTATGGACCGCCTCGTATTCATTAAAACGGCCGAATGGATAAGAATTGTATTAAGTTGGCTATGATCACGCGAAAGTCTTTGAAAGCTAATCTTTAGGGTAAAAGTGGAAACCTATTGCTGTCACTCTATCGTCTGTCTGTCCTTATTTCACGGGTCTCTACATGGTAAAATCAATGAGTTACAGAACTGAAATTTTGGTATTTTATGTAGGATGCTTGTCCAAGGTCGAATATTTAGTTAAAATTTTAATTTAATTATTTTTATTTTCACTTCATTATGAGACACTTCATTGCTTACAGTTCGTTTAGTAGAATATAAATAAGATGTTGTTTTTCTGTTCAATAAAAAAGAAGGTGGGATTTAGACCATTTTTGTGACGGGGTCTATCTCAAAATCGAAACTAGTTAAAAATGTGTTTATTTTTATTTTATTATGATGTCCTATGCTTTATTTAAAATAACAAATACAGAAAACGCCGATTCATAATGTAGGTTCTTTCTAAGTTGTGACGAAAACAAACAAATGATTTTACGGAACCCTAATAGATCGAGGTCAGACTCGCGCTTGGTCAGCTTTTTATTTGCTCCTCTCATATTTCTTTGTGCTGTGTTAGGTTTGAAAATATATGTTATTAGACTGGACAAAATTTGATATTTCATATCGTTTGCCAAGATTTTTGATCTTATTTTTTTAGTTTGGTATTTCTTTCAGCTTGCTGTTTCAGTAGAAATGCATAAAATCTATCCTACTAATATTATTATGACGTTTTTTATTTAATCACACAAAAATATCTGAACGGATTTAACTTGATACAAATATAATTTATTATCTATATTAAGCCAAAGGATACTCTTTACCCCGGAAAATTTTAAGTTTTCACATTGTCAACCTTATGTTCCCAAAAATATAACGTTGACAAAGTCTCGGGCGAGCATAACATACTTACATAAAAAACTAGCTCTCGTATAATATGCTGTACTAAATGTATTTCAAATAGAAATTAATTCTATATGATAATTAAGCTTATCCTTGTTCCACCAAAAACTTTCCCGTTGAGTACAGTTCTAAATTTCAAACAGAAGTCGCGAGCAGAAAACCACTTAAATAAAACGACGCCACTACTACGTAACGAACGATATCCTTCCCTACCTATATTTTCCCACGTCAAAGTAGTATTAAGTCGGGGTAAATCAAAACCCTATCTGGATTAGAAGAATCCTCATCGCTCGGAAGTTGTACAGTAGTGGTGGCTTCCTTCCGGGGATATTGCGCCGGAATACAGCCAGCTCTTCCCATTATTTATTGTGCCAGTCCTTGCTACAGATACTATCGCTGTAGTTAAGCGACACACTGCACTAACAGCCAACGGTGAAATAATAGCATCTTATCCGATTGTTTTGTTAAGAGCCCTTTCACATTTTTCGCAAAAAATAGTAATTCTCGAGCGCCTCGTTTACCCCCTTAGAAAAGATTTTGCCTATTTCCAATAGAAGTAAACAGTAGATTTATTTTTCCTCTTGTAAATTGATGTAGAATATTTGCAAATACTATTTTCCTTTTTTTGTACTGGTCGTTCTACTGCAGCTAGTTTACGAAAAAAACGATAATATGTACAACTTCAAACGCCTCAATCTCTCAATAATGTTCTATAAATTAGATCAAATTAATTACTACGACATCAGAAATATGTTTTTGTTGTAACATAATGTATTAGAATTTAGATTTTTCTATCTCATTAATTTTCAAAAAACACATCTAACCTGCGTTAGTTTTCCCAAATAATAATACAGGTTTACCTCGTATTTTGATATTGAATTTAATAGAATTACTACCAAAAACATTCATAAAAAATCTACCATCATTATTAAAATACTGAAATATGTATATATTTTTAAAATTAGTTCATTAATAATTATTTTATAAGACTCGAAACAGCACCCGTTAAATGCAATATATACTAGTGCAAATCTACCTACGCGCCGATCAGTACGGCAGCGGCGCAATTTTGTAAAAGGGCTCTTAACCATGTCTTTATAAAATCCTAATTTTGGTAATCGGTAAAATAAGACTTCAAGATTGAAATGGATGGAATGGATGGAAGGACACTAGAATGAAGCTATACCTAATAATAATCATTTTAATGTGTGTATATATGTGTGCAAATTTTTGTATCGTACTCTTCCGAAACGGCTTTATCGATGTTTATGATTTTTTTTGATTATTTGGTAGCTCCGACAATCGATCATAGCCTATTTTTTCACCCCAAGGTGGTGAGGGTGGAACTCTAAACTTTTTGTTTACGATTTGTCATCAAAAATATCTAGAACCTTAATTTTTCACCCTCCTACCACTAACACTTATTTTTATGGCTTTTCGAAGTTTGTTTGATCAGCTAGTATATTATATTATTTGGTTTGAAAAAAAAAAGTACTATAAAAAAGGCTTCTGGCAAAGTTTTTCCTGTAAAATTAATACGAGGAGCTATTAAAGTATTTTGGTCTATATTTATCAATAAGGAATGGAAAAAACAAAGAGCATAAAACGTGCGCAAATAGCAAAAATAAAATTACAGAACTGCTTTGGTAAATGAAAACCGACGACCTTGACTTGGTAGATAAA